CATCTTCTGGCTGTGCAGTGAGGGAACTTGCCTGGTGCTATGCAATGAATTATCCCCCGCTCATAATTCATCCCATGTCTTGCACTTGTCCCCTGTTCTGTTTATCAAACCTGTTGGTCCTGCTGCTGCCCAAAGACTGTATTAAATTGGTTCATCAATCATGTGGCTGCCAGCCACAGTCTTGCCAGGGAAGGGAAGAAGGGAATGGGTAGAAGTACCGTAAAGCTCCACAGATAATGTAATTCCGATTAGGAAAAGTTCTTACTTCTGCAGCCACTTTTAAGCCCATTAGAATAGCTGTTTGTATTCCTTACTACTTAATTTAAGGCATTTAGCTTGAAGAGGCTGTAGTGAATAAAGCGCTTTGTTAGTAGGGCATTTGGATCTTCATTCTTGCACCAGTCCTGGCTGTGTTACCCTCCAGAGTCAAGCATGATAGGCCAGTTAATACCAGCTAAGTATTCAGTCCAGTAATATTCATAGATGGGGCTTTGCTTTTCAGGGCAAAGAAGTAATAAAAGCAAATATTGCCTTTGTGAGTTCAGAGCTGAGTCTGCGAAGAGGAGCTCACAGAAATCCATTTCCAGGCTGGATACGAATGTCTGGACAAACAGTGCCTTTGCACCATTTGGCACATCAGCCCCAGGGGCTTGGCAAGGGCACTGGTGGTGTGTGTTACCCCATCCCCACCTCTAATTGAGCAGAAATGCTGGATGGATGCAGGGATTTGTCATCTCAGGCAAGGCTTCTGCGTAGGCTGTGGCACCCAGGGCTGCACAGAGCATGTCCATCACGGGATGGGGCTGTTCAGTGAAAGTAGAGGCAGCATCAGTTTAACACATCCTCCTTGCACTAGTTTGCAGACTAGCCCACCATAAAGGTGACCTCATTTTTATCCAAAATTTGGTGGGGTATTTTCCTTACTGAATGTTTTTATCTGCGATACTTTTTTTTTTAATTAGCTAAATTAGATTTTTTTTTCTGAAGAATTTTAACCACAGTGGCATTGTGAAAACATTTATCGTTTGACCTAAAAACATATGTCAAAAACAAAGACTGAGTTTGTTTTGGTGTCTGAGGTCCCAGTGTTGTGGCTGGCAGCAATTACCAGGGGTCCGCAACAGATACCGCTCTCTGTACGTGTACCTATTTTGGCTCTGGAGACTTGAATCACTGCATCTGCTTGTCTGTCTGCAGTGTTTGATTGTGGGCTTACGTGGCCAGTCTCTGTAAGTAGACAAGTTTTATCCTTCAGCTAACAGTACCCAAGGTACAGACACTAAGAAGACAAGTGAACAGCCTGACCACTATCTGCATTTAGATGTTTTGGCTTCTTTTGGGGTTTAATGACCATTTTTTTTCACCTTTTCTACCACATCAAGGAAAAGCTGGTGAGACTGGGTCTGACTGGGCTCTCTGGTCTACACAAGACGTTTCTTGTTCTCATCTCCTACATGGTGCTTGCTAGAACACAGGCATCCCTGGCGTGGAAGCCCCCAAACAGACTGTCGCTTCTCTGGGTCAGATATCAAATGCGCTGGATCATAAGCTCTTGCATGGGTACCAAAACCAAGGGACTTCTTCAAAGTGCACGGAGATCCCAAAGATCTGATCCCTGTTTAAAAAAAAAAAAAAAATCAAGAAAAAATGCTTATTAGTTGCCAAATGCTAACCTATTAAACCTGTCCTCAATTGCATTTTGTGTAATAACTATTTTCCAGATCTGTTTAGCTTAAACCTGCAGAAGTGTTGTAATTTGCATATAGTGACACCGGGGAGTAATGGGATGGTTTTACTAATTAGGGAATAGCAACAAAGAATTTTCTTAGGGATAAGCAAATCCTTTCAGACTAGTCTTACACTGATGGAGGATGGTTTCTGTGTTGATGATTTCTCCATCTCAATGGAAACCTTTCTGAATGGAATAAAGGAGGAATATAAGATTGTCTTTCCCATATGCACTTACCAATGCACTCTACGTTCAGAATTCAATATAGGAGGGATTTGATTTTGCTAAGTCACAAAATATGCATTAAGTTAAAAGAAAAAACAAACACACTCCGATTAGGTAATCTGTCAGAAACTAGAACTTCTGTGAAAGCGCAGGCCTGTTCCCCAAGCAAAATCAAGCTATATCATAAAGACAGGAGCTGCAAAATTCTGCAACTCTACGGCAGCATGTGACTAATACAAGACACCTGGTTTTGGCTGGGCTGAACATTTTAACAAGAAGCTGGATTTGCACCATAGGTCCTATCCTTTCACAAAGGTCAGGGCTGTCCTCAAAGAGCTCATCAAGAAAAAAAGCTGTTCTTTGCGATCAGCTTTGTCGCTAGGTTGAAGATCCTATCAGAAAAAGGGCTATTAGTGCTTGACAAATCAGCCTTCTGAATCCCTTTGGGTCACTCAACACATCATTTTGGGTAGATCCGACCTCTTATTGAATCCAATCAAGACATACTGTCAAGATTTCAGATTATTTGACATTTTGGTTAATGGTTTCTTTTCCCTTTGAGTTCCCATCTATTTTTAAGTGAAAAAAATACTCTTTTGAAATGGTACAAAGTTTCATTTCAAAGAGGTCAACCCCAAATGTTGCAGAATTTTCCATAACATAACGCGACATTTCAGAAATGTCAAATTGAAATGTTCCAGCATTTTCAAACTTTCGCTCCATTTGGGGGGTTGAAACTGTTTATCTCAGTTTATCCAAAAGCTCAAATAGCTTCAGTGCTGTGCATTTACCTTCACCTGACAAATCCAACCTAACTTCAGTGAATAGGAGCCTCTCTGTTCAATCCTTTTATTAATGCTGTGATGGATAGCAGATGCTTGAAGAAAATCTTTGAGGAGAACTGAATGACCAACTCTTTCTAAAGTTTTCTCTGCTTTCCTTGCCAAGACTTTTAAGCGACCCTAACAAATATGTCCATGATCCGCAAAGCCCCTGGCATTTTTCTGGAAAGGGCTCTTCTTTTGAGTGTTTGGAGGTCCCAGAAAAGAAGCTCATGAAATCCCTGGTGACCCTGCTGAGACGCCTGGCCAGACATCCTTTGCAAAGTGAGTAGGATGCCTTTTCCATCTAAATGAATGGATATGACACTAGGTGTAAACCTGGGAGTTGTTTATATGTTGCTGTTTTGAAATTATCATTTTCCTCCCACCTGCAGCCTAGTCTCTTTTCTTTTTTAATATGTATTGTTTGACATTTTTTCTGCCTGAAACATTTATAAGGCATTATGCTTAAAAAATTAGGTTGATGAATGAGAAGAGACGGTTCTCCTAATACAGTCATTGACAGAAAGGCCAGAAGCCTTTTTTAAAGCATGGAAGCTTGTCATTTGGCTGCTGTAAATTGCTCTGAGTAGCAAGACAGTAAAAAAAAAAAAGACAAAAATAGAGCAATAGATGACACTGAAGCAGAAAGCGTCCCAGCAAATACAGCATTGTGGAGAAATACAATTAAAGCATTACGAATTCCTCACTCATTTTAATGAGGGAACAAAGACTGTCTCAGAACTTATGCAGCTCACATGCTTCTACAAGACCTTTTTTTTGTAGGTGACAGATCTGTTATTGCTTGCCGGGTGACCCTGCTGATATCACACCATGGTCTATAAAGATGATGTTCTCCTTTCATCATGCTGCAAGACTGAGACCCACTGAAATGGCATTAGTTGGTCCTGTCAATGGGTAGATCAGTCCTGGCCAATTTTCACTTTCCTTTGCCTGTTTTGAGCAGGGATTTTGCTTTTGTCTTGGGTCCTGGACTCGAAGGCGTCTGGAAGGATGTGTTAGAAGAACCGATATTTGAATACTTCTCAAACTCCAGATGTAGCTCTCTGCAGTGGCCAGCCGGTTGATGTGAGTGTGACTGTGGGATCATTGCAGGAGACAATCCCCAGTCGGCTGTGATTCTGCTTTCTGTGTTCATTATTGACAGCTGTACTAACAACCTGTAACTTTGTGAGGTTGATTGTGCTCAAGCCAAAATGCCTGACAAATAACTTTGGGAACTCCACCTGATCAAGTTGAACTCAAGGCACCTGCTTGAGTACTCAAAGCTACACAGAGACGTGGTACAATTACCAGAGCTTTGGATTAGTCTTCTGAGCCACTGGGAACCATAGCGAGAGACACAACGGCCACTTTAGCACCATCAAAATAGAAACTTCTCTTCCAGCTGACACATCGAGCTGAATGCACCACCCCCAAGAGAGAAGAACGTGGCTCCAACACCAATGGCCCTACTTCAGAGTAGCACTTAAGCATGTCCATGATCCCCTTGATAATCAAGGGAACTGCCCTGCTTGGATGCCTAAGTGTTCATCTGAATCAAGACTAAAAGAGTGTCTACTAGCTCTGGTTTCTGAGGTGTCTGTCCTGCACTAAAGCTGAGGCCTAAAGTGGATGCAAGGTAACTGGTGGTACCTGGCCTCTCCGTGGTGGTGAACCTGGGCCAGTCGTTCCACCTAGTCAGTTTGCTCAAAAGCACTGCACTGGAAGGGAAAATTCAGCCCCTCTTGCCCTTGTCAAGGTAAGAACATTTCAGCTGACTTGGAAGAACGTTTTTGTGCAAGTGGCGGTTTTAGAGGGCTTTTCCCTTGCTACCTTTCCCAGCCAGGCTGGAATCCAGCCATCTCACAGAAGCAGGATCGTAGCTGTGTCTGGAGGGGACACGGCAGACCCTTGACTCACAGCCCATCTGTCCACATTCTCAGGGGAGGCTGAGCCATCTCAGAAGTCATCGTGATGCATAGTATTAAATCCTAGGATATGTTTAAGCTTAAAGGCACTTAAAAGTACCACCTGAGAGGCCATTGGTTCCATCATCATCCTAATTGTGCAAATAACCTCATTCGACTAAAAAAGTGTCTGATTTCCAGCCGGTTTACTGTCATATCCCAGGATCATGTTTCAGCCAAGAAATGAGCATCACATCTTCATTTCCAGGTGAAACAAATAAATGTATTGCATTGTTGTTGTTGTATATCTTGCAGACAAACAAAGCAGTAGCCAAGGGGGACTTCCACCACGCAAGCTCCAGCTCCCGGCGAGCACTCTTCCTGGCTGTCCTGTCCATCACAATCGGAACTGGCATCTACGTTGGGGTGGCCGTGGCTCTTATTGCCTATCTGTCCAAAAACAATCATTTATGAGCCTCAGGAAAGGGGGAGAACCAGCCACCCGGCGCCTGCACTGCAGAACTCCCCAGCAGATCAGACTGCATGATTTCTCCAAAAAGATCAAGAGACAAACACCTTCTGGGGGCAGGTACAGGATAAGATGGGCTTGTGCATTACTGTAGGGTGGGAAGCTGGCTGGGGTGGGGGTAGTTCCACCATTTGTGATGCACAAGTCTTGCTTCTCTTCATGAACCCCCGTACAAGAAAGAAGGAAAGAAAGAGCGAAAGAGAGAAAGAAAGCAAAAGACAGAAAGAAAAAAGAAAAAAAAGAAAAGGAAGGAAGTTGGGGGAGGTCTGGAGAGGGGTGTTTTGCCTTTGCCTTCTTTGCAATATGGTGTTTACAAGCAGCTGGCAAACTGAGCTGTTCTCTTAATACCTTCTTGGTGACCTGAACTTTGTAGCCAGCATGAGCTTGTGCTTAGTTTGCTTGTTAAGCACGGCACTGAGATCTGGGAAAGCATGGACAGTGGCTGGTTCTCTGAAAGAGCAATATAACAACAGGAGGAAGACTATGTTTTCTTTTTTTTTTGAACGCAGGACTCATTTGCCTAAGAGTGAAGCAGAGACCTCAGCGTAGAATGGTATTGCCTACTCTTCTTGTGTGGGTAGGTTTCCATGGAGGAGAAAAGGAAATAAAAAGTATTTTTTCTTTCCTTTCCTTGTTTTTGGATTAAGATGTGACCCACAGGCCCACCCAATGCAGAACAGCTGAGGTTACTGCATGACTTGGCTCCGCAGACTGAGCGTGAGGTCGAAGTAGCATGGGATCTGTTGTAAAATTAATTCCTCCATCCAGTCACATTGTGATAACGGCACATTCCTGTGGCATATTGCTTATCTGGGTTGCTCCACCTTACCGTGGAGACCTGCATAGCAGTCAGTGCAAGAAACCTGGGGGAAAAAATGCAAACTGAAATACTAATCAATTTTAAATTAAAAATCGTGGTAAAGCATGGGAATTAACCAGGGGAAGGAATGCTTCATACATTTCTGGGGTCCTGCTGATACACAGAGCAGTGAAGGAGACCACTCAGATTACAAGCTCACAGCTCATCCGTGGACCAGGGACACAGCATAGCAATGGAGAGACAAACGTGTCCCTCGATAAGCAGCGCAATGGTATGTTGTAAGGGAATTGAGCGTTGTCCTTATTTCACTGACTGAAATGATACATTTATTTTCTTCTTTACTCCTTCCCCACAGTCAAGCTTTTATTTTTTTTTTTTTTTTGTCTTACAGATGTACCATTTCATCCCACCAAGGGTGTATCAGCATAGATATATATGTATCTACATATATATATACACAGAGAGAGAAACTGATCAAAATAATAAGCATTTTATTATTCACTGCATTGTGGTTTACAGACATAATTTCTTTACCCAAGAATGTCATCAAAGACCTTTTTTTCCAACTCTGTATTGTGTGTCAGCTTTGCTCTGGGACAGCTTTTTCTCCTGTTTTGGGGTTGGCATTATTTTGGTTTTAATTTAACTTTTTTTTTATTTTAGGGGGGAGGAGGACAAACACATCCAAAACTATTTTTCTGCTAGTTATACAGTTTATTAAAACACATGGTATACAGCTGCTGATGCTCCGTGTGACACTTTCTTTGGACGGATGCGAAGCGTTAGACTGAGTGAAACTTGCCCCAGTACCCCGAGTTCAGCTACCTGGAAAAGCACCTCTATGGACCATCCCATACTGTACCTGGACCCAAAAGCCTATTGCAGTCACTGACAGTTCTTTTTTGCATTGATTTGTTGGGCTTCAAACTAAGCCTGGAGACTAGCAATGTACTTCTAGTCATCTTCACCCATTCTCAGCCACTGCTAAAGCTGAGGTCCCAGTAAATGCAGTTTTTTGGCCAAGTTGCCGTATTAAGGTAAAGTCAATCCTGTGGTTCTTCCCCTTCAACCTTTTTTTCTAGCAATTGCCATGGAAGCCTCTTCCCTTTGAAGTGAGGCAGTGCTGACTGGGCAAGTTAGAGTCCCCACTGTATTCGCCCCAATGGGCAGTATCTGGGTTTGGGTAGGTGAGGCACAAGAGCACAATCTGCTGCCTCCTTATTCTTCCAAGAAGATGCACAGGGTTTCCAGCTATGACACTTACAGCAGGCTCTCCAAAGCAGTGTGTCGTGGCTTTAAAAACCAACCTGGGATGTGTGTTGCAGTCCTTGCCTCACTTCCCCCTGGAAATCAGGTGGCTGTGACTGCTTTGGTGCACATTTGCCCCATTTCAAACTCTTCTTCCCATTCAGGAAAAACGGGAAGTTTCTTTCTAGGTTGTTTTTAAGGGTGAAGTGTTGCTAGACTTTGACTATAAGGGATCAACTCACAGCAAAAGCCCCATGCTTTGCCAGCAGAGCTTTCATCTCAGCCCACAGGTGACATCCACGCTGGGGACCGTGGGCTCTGTTCATCCATCACCACCTTGGGAGTCTTTGGGGGCCATATAAGCCCCATCCAAAACCCCAGACCTGAGCACCACGTGTCAATAACTAATCCATTTGCTCAATAACCCAGATTTAAGGGTGTTTGGGTGTGGTTCATCACAAGAAAGGCGAATGATGATTGGGATTCAAGCTAAAATTCCCAGGACACCACCCTACCCCTGTGTGAAGGCCCTAAATGCCGCAGTGTGTGAGATGTGCGGTGAGACCTGTGAGCACACGTTTGCTTTTGCAACACGCAGGTGCCCAGTGAGCTTGAATTTGGGCAAGGTAACACATTTCAGTTAGGGCTTGGCTTTCACCACAGGCTCCTGTGCTTTGCTCCTGATGCACAGATCAGCCCAAAGAACCACACAGCCAAGCTGTGTAACATGCTCTTGCCTTATGTCAGCATGATTTGTGGGGAATTAGCTCTTTCTCTCAAAGCCTGAACTTTGGAGCCCACGGTATTGAAGAAGAAACTCAGATTTTCCATTTAAAAAGAAAGGAACTACTATTTCCTAGCCCCGATCTGAATTTAACCTGGAGTTCAAAAAAATTAGAAAGCGAATACAGAGACTCTAAGGTCATTATACATGCCCAACAATAGTAATAATAAAGCTATTTTTAAACCAATCTTGTGGTCGAGGGGTCTGCCTTATGATTTTTGATGATGGTTGTGCAGACTGAATATTGACCTGAGAGGCAAAAGCCAGCTCTGGAGCTAGAAGAAACTTTCCCAGATGAGCAGCCTTAAAAATGCCCTAGAGGCCCTTGCACCTGGCCTTAAAAATAGCATCCCAAGCTGAGGAGTGCAGGCTTGCATGTCTCCAGGAACCTCCAAGGGACGGTAAACAGGAGCAGCGCTGTGGGAAAGACCTGCCTAGCAAGAGCACTCCAGTGAGCATCACCTGGCTGAAAGTTGAGGATGTGCCTCTGTGCTGCACATGCTGGAGCAACCCACCATGGGACTGGTATTTGGTGTGGCAGTCCAGGGGGGTAAGCAGGGAACCTAAGGGGAGTTTGCATCCCGGGAATGTAGACCTGGGCCTCACTGCAGCCCAAAGTGGGGATAAAGCATCTGTTGATAGCTTTCATGCCTTAATATGGGTCCAGTTTGCTGAATATCTGCAGCACGGGTATTTACCCAGGGCTGAGTATCAGCCAGGAGCTGAACAGGGACCAGTCTCTCTTCCTAAGGTAAGTGATGTTGGCATGACCCGCTACAGCATCTCTGGCCGCTAGAACAGATATAATCCTCTAAAGAAAAATCTATGGCATGAAGACTAGAAAGTGCCACCGACACCAACGCTACGGTCTGAGCTTCTGCTGAGCAAGGACCTTGGAAGCTGCGTGACACAGGTTTGCTCCTCAGTGTCAGGAAGGTTCTGATGAAGGAAGAGGAAATTTGAAGGAAATGCTGCAGAGGTAGCATTTAATTCGGGGGTTTCCTCGGCTCAGGCTTTGGTGTTGCCGTGATGCGGCTGAAGCAGAGGAGCCAACTCTGTTCAGGAGCATCTGGTGGAAGAGCAAGAAAGACCACGCAAGAAGGACCACGGGTGCGCTGGTGCTGTCTCACAGCTTGCAGGAGGATGCATTTCCTAGGAGGATTCTTTTCCTGCAAGAGGATCTTCTTCTGCTCAGTCTGCAGTGGGCTGTCAGGAGCTGCTAGAGCATTTCAGCTGCTGCGTTTCTAACCGTTGGTTCTCCAAACACTGTCCACGTCACCTCACTGCACCCGACTGAGGAGGCAGCTATAAACTACCACCCATCTGAGACACTGAAGCAGCCTGTTGGCAGAGACAGACTTTAGGATCTATCTTTGCTTTACCTGTGCGCCTGAAACAAGCTTTCTTGTAGGTTTGCGGTGTGTCCTGGGCCGGCAGCATCAGGTCAGCACACTGGTGGGGCCATGCTGGCAGAGAGGGGCTTAACCCTCACAGGGCTGGAGGAGCAGACCGGGTGACTGGGGTGACCTTGCAAAGACATATGATTTCACGAGAAGTCAGTGCATATTCACACACACACAAGGACCATCAAACTTTCTTGTTTGCTTTCAGGTTTGCATGTGTACATGGCCTCTCTGAAGAAAGAGAGGCTTACCCTGATTTTGGGTGTGCTATATATCTCACCATCTGCAGTGATGCTCCTGGAAGATGCCAGCTGTGGAAATAAATTTTTCTATTGCATACCAATACCTTTTTCCCCATCAACTTGGGAGATGTGTAAAGTCCTGCCATCCTGATGGGCCCAGCTAGAAAATGCTGAGAGAAACGTGTTTTGGGCTCTCATAAGATACCTGAGAGCAAGAGGAACAGTGAGAACCAAAGGTAAAAGTGATGCCTTGGGCTGCCTATAACCTTGTTTGATGTTGATGAAAACCTTAGGCTGGCAAAGTCAGGAAGCAGCTTTTCAAACACACATGGGGGGATTTCTAGCCTTTTTCAGCAGCAGAAGGGAAGAGGGTCTATGTGTAAATGAAATCACAAGTCCCTGTTGCTTAAGCTGGAAACACAGCTCTGAAACTGGGCAGCCATGTGAG